ATGCTAACAAATTGCAATAGATTCTCTTATTTTTCCACCAAGCTCGCAAAAATTTTTCTGAAATCTCTTATTACTTCCCCTTTAAGAGTTTCAGTTGTTTCTTTCAGACTTCTTAACTGAACGTAATTAATTTTCAAGATCCGTTTCTTTTACAAAATTATTATATTTTATATCTGACGGTACGATGTACCCGAAACCCAGAAGGACTTGAAATATATCTGTATATGTTATTTTATCGATCGATTTAGAATCACTTTCTTTTACACTGTTTTGAACCAAAAAGGCAAAACACTATTGAAAATGCTTCGGATCGAAACACTTTCTCGTCGAAACTCGTCGTCGTTGCTATGTGAATGAATTTAAGGTCTTATGAATAACTTTATCAAGCGAAATGCGGCGGCCGACTAGAATCATATTTTGTTTTATTGAAAATTGAAAAAGAATTTCATTTGGCCCGAGAAATAAACTAAATGTTACGATTTCACATTTTTAGCTACTGTGGACCTTTAAAAAGGGTTCATTAAAAGTTTCATTCTGCATATATTTAGAATAGATTTAAAAGGATCTTTGCCTTTCCTTTCAAGCGTAAATGCGCAGATGGACGCGTATTAATTTATAATTTTGCGAAGAACGTTGACACCGGCTCAATGAATATCCTCTATTCATATAAGCAAAGAAAGTCTACAATGTTATACATTACGAAGTGATCGAGTGAAATTGAATTGAAACTAAAAAAAAAAAAAAAAAAATTTAATATTTTTAAAAAGGAAAAGGAAAAGAAAAATACAAATACAAATAAAATGGACCTTAAGTAAATTTAAATAAAATATACAATATGTATAAGTGTAATCGCATATATATATTTGAAATTTTTATTTTTATTGAAAATTTCATTTTCATAGGCATTGAACTAATTATGTGAAGCATGTATAAAAAGTATAAAAATTTCTACATAAAAATGATTAATTAATTAATTACAAAAATATATAGCAGGTAGCAGTTTTTTTTTTTCTGTTTTTTTTTTTTGTTTATTTTTTTTTTGTTTTTTGTTAATTTTTTTTTTGTGTTTTTCTTTTTCACTAATTCAGAGATAATAAAGTGTATTGTGTTATGTAAAGAAAAGCAAAATAATATATAGAATATATATAAGAAGAAGAATCTATCTATAAACGCCTTAAGACGATTCGTGAATATTCATCACCTCGGTATACGTTTTTGTTCATTGAAACATTTTGTTCATCAAAATGATTGTTTTTTTTTGCCGAACCATTTTGAACACTTCCAGTAAATACTTGAGCACAATTTTAGTTGCGACAAAGTGGTACAAGATTTTAAATACAAAAATTTTTCAATTTATTTGTAAAGTCTTGGTGTACTTACTGTACACTCAACTTTTCAAGCATTAATCGAGAAGAGATTCATTTCAATTTCAATTTCAGTTTCAGATTCAGATTTTTAGCTTAATATCCCTGATTGTACAAATTGCACAATACGGAATCGATATAGAAGGGGTACACAGCTAAAATGACTTTACAATCTTGTGCCTATATTTACATTAAAAATGCCTCTCTCTCTCTCTCTCTCGGTTGTACACAATAGATGGACAGACTGACACACATTTTACACATATTGTCGCCCGTCAGTGGTGAATATAAGATGGAAAAAAAAGGGGGAGGGGATAACAAAAAAATAGCAATTATTAATGATAGAAAAATCCATATATAGAATATAGAGTAACAATAGTACGACTCATAACAATGTTAATAGAAAAAATAACAAATATTTATACTTTTCATCTATAGAAAAAATTGGTAAAAAGTTAATTTCTTGTTCTTTTTTTTTTTTTCTTATTCTTTTTGTTGTTGTTGTTGTTGTTTTTCTTTAGAAAAATAAAAAAATATATATGTATATGCATATTTCTATAAAATGATACTTAAACATAGAGATTTCGCTAAATTCTTGTTCATCTTCTAAGGACAGATGATGCAGTTGGAACAATTTCACTATAAATATGTAAAGTGTATGTAAAAATTTATATTAAAATAAACATAGAAAAAAAAAAAGAAATAAGCAAACAAACAAAACAAACAAATATTTTACTTTAGTTACTAGGAGACGTGTACATATATTTATACATATATATACTTATCTACACAATAGCAATGAAAATATTTTATAAAAATTAATAATAAAAAATTGGTGAAAAGAATTTATTTTGGAACGAAAAAATGAGTTTTTGCAAAAAATTTTAAATTAAAGAGATACCAGGAGAAACTTAATGCAGCGGTTGTCAACTTTTCTAAAAATAAGGAGAAAAAAAATTAGGCTGTGATGTATATACATATATATGTATATATATATATTCAGGGTAAATAAAAATAAAAATGAATTCATTTACCATTTCTCTTTTAAATTATCCGACTCTGCTCTATTTCATGCGTTAGTGATGAAATGGATAATGGACTTCTGGGCAGAAAAGTTCTCTTAAATTGCTATAAAAGGCAGATTTATTAAAAAACTCGTATCACTATCCTCTTCTTCTTCTCCTTCTCCTTTTCATCTATTTTTGTGTAACGATTTCACAGCGAACTTTTCCTCCTCCTTAGCTTCACCTAATTTGTCAATTTATTTAGCTTTCATTCCAATAATGACTACAACGAACAGTTTCCATGCATTAATCGTTGAATTTGTCATTGATAGCAGCTGGAACATAAGCAAAGAGTTGCCTACGACTTATTTGCATTTTTTTAGTGCAAGAAAATTTCCATAAGAGCAAATTAGGAAAATTATTATTATTATTATTATTTTTATTATTTTTTTTATTTTTTTTTGGAAGTTTGTCATTTTAACCTTAACAAGGGCAGATTAACTTTTTTCTCATATATATATATATATATTTTAATTGAATGAAATCTCGTCTTGCAAGTCGTCAAAGCGACATAAATACTTGATGATTATCAGTTTTGCTTGTTGTACATGTAAGGCGGACATTCTCGAAAGCGTAAAGCTTCTTAGCAATAATGAATATTCAGCTGGGTACTTTCATCTTCTTCGGGCAAAAATTTATAGGAACAAATATCCTGCAAGGGAAGGCGCATTTCGATGCGATCGGTACTTGACTTATTTTTGTTTTCTTCCTTTGTTTCTATGTCTCTTTTAGGCTGGCATAAATAACGGTTAGCGATATGTTCTATCTGACGTAGATAGGAAAAAAGACTAATGAAATTCCACAGCTTGGTTTGCGAGCAAAAGGTTTGCTTTTGACGCACTATAGTCTTCACTGCCTAAGCCCAAAACTTTATAACCACAACTGAAGAGATCATCACGTCTGTATTGTGGTTTAATCTATCATTGATTGCTTTATGAGATAATTAGATTGTGACATTAGCTGTTATAGAGAAATTACATTTGAATTTAATAGCAGGCTCGGTATATGTGCCCCGAAAATCCTGACTTCCGCAAAAAGGGTTCCAAAATTTTTATTTTTTTTGGTCTCACAATAATCGTTGTCTGCGATTATGATCACCTTGTGACTGACGTTAATACACTTCTATAATAGGAATGAAGACTTGACAAGATGCTAGAGGTCAAGCATACTACAGTCACTCATCTACAGCTTTGATGACAGATTGTTAAGCAAAACAAATCAAAGAATCAAACTTTGAAGCGCAATGACTTGAAAAAAAAAAAAAAAAAAAAAACCAAAAACCCTAAATGAAGATTGGTCATGAAAGTAACAAGATATGATGATTGCATGTTGCATTCCAGTGCATTGTGAAAATTGCGCTCTTTTCAAAAGTTGCCCTATATGATAGATCAAAAACAGTTTGAGCAGGCTATATAGTAAATAAATATTAAAAAAAAAAAAAAAAAAAATAATAATAATAATAATAATAATGATAATAATAATAATAATAATAGAAGATAGCTAACGAAGTTATGTTTTAAGAAAATGGTAAATGGAGCCTTGCAGGGAAGAAAATGATAAAAAAAAATAAAAATAAAAAAAATGATAACGGTGAAGGTTCGAGGAGAGATAAGTGGAGAGATTACGAAAAAGAAATGATTTCTCTGTCATAATGTAACCAAAAAACTGTTAAGCACAACTCAAGTAGAAAGCCTTGAATATAAACATTAAACCTGTTTGTTATGCTCTTAACATTAAAAACTTATGTTTAATTGTTTAATTGTTTTCTTTTGTTTTTTTTTTTTTTTTTTTCTGTATTATAATATATATGTAATTTTTCTATAAAGATTTCGTTTGTTTTTTGTTTTTCTTCTTCTTTTTTTTTCTTGTTATAGTTTAGTTAATAGATAGTATTTAAAATGTGTATAAAAAATTAACAGTGGAAAAATATACTTTTTGTTTTTTGCTTTATTTTGTTGTTTTGTTTTTTTTTGTTTTCTTTTTTCTGTTTTTTTGCTTTTTCAATATTTCATCTTTTTCTTTTTATTATCCTTTCGTCATCCTTATCCATTATCTTCACCAGTGTTTTATTTTGTTTTGTTTTTTTGTTTTTTTGCTGTAGTTAATTATGTATGCATTAAAAAAGTTTACAACTAGATACAAAATTATGTTTGTGTTCGATTTTCTATCATTATTATTTTCACAAATATATATATATATACATATATATATATATATATATATATATATATATATATTGTTTTGTTTTTTTTTTTCATTTCTCTTATAGTTTGCTTCCTCCTTCTAACCGTATGTTTTCTTTTTCTTGTCCTTGATTAAACTAACAATTCATTTTCAAGCATTTAAAAAAATATATATGTATGTATGAATGTATGCGGGTATGTATGTATGTATGTATGTATGTATGTATGTATGAATGAATGAATGTATGCAGGTATGTATGTATGTGAGTATGTATCAATGCATTTCTGTGTGTGTGTGTGTGTGTGTGTGTGTGTGTGTGTGTGTGTGTGTGT